TATAATGTGAGCCACATGTGTGATTTTAAAATGTTCTAGTAGACACAGTAAAGTGGAACAACTGAAATTAATTTTAATATATTATAACCTAATATATCTAAAAATTATTACTGAGATTTTACATTCTTTATTTTGTACGAATTTTTTGAAACCCAGTCTATGTTTTCATACATAGTACATTTTACTTCGTACCTGCCACATCTGAAGTGTCCAGCAGCCAGCTGTGGCTACTAGCTATCGTCATGGATGGGACAGGTCCAGAAGAAGCACCGTATAAAGCTGTAAAGTGATCAGAAAATGGGGACAGGAAAAGAAAAAAAATACCTAGAGGGGGAAAAAAATCTGAGGATGCACAGCCTTCAAAATGAAGGGCTGATTCTTGTGATGGGTAGTAATGGTTTCCATTTCCACTTAGGTTCTACTCCCATGCCATGTCTTCATCCCCTGAAAAAAACTGGTTTACATTTCAATTACATGTGCCATTTCACTTAAATCTAAACAGAGAGAAATTGAGTCTTAGCCAATAGAATAAATGTTTGTCTTGCCTTCTTCCTTCATTTATTCAACAAACCCTGAGTGAGGTACCCAGTCATCCCTACGTCTCAGGAAGGGGGTTGTTTGTACTATACAAACGTTAAAGCTATGATGATGATGATCCTTAGCTTTGGGTATGGCCTGAGACCAAGGAAGGTACAAGGTGGGCCTCAGTATCCCATCCTTTCCAGTACTGAAGTTCACAGTTAATGATCAGACACTATTACTGTATACCATATATTTTATATAAGGAAATGCCTTTGAACACCTTGAGTAAAAAGCATGCAAGAAGGGAATGATAGATAGTGCCTGTTTTCAGATGACGCAGAAATTGGGTGTTGCCATCATAGTTACACAAGCAATCTAATCATGACCCAAGAAGGAGGTGGCAGGTGGTATATGGAGATTAGACATCAAAGGGCTCAGCTCTCACACTGCCTTGTGCAAACCTCACAAGGTCAGCTCCCAGCCACCTGGCAAAGGCCTGACATTCTGAGATATTGTAGAAGAAGCACGAAATGGCCCCTTTAGTTTTGTCTCTTCCTTTACTCCTGTCAGAATCCAAGATGACTGGTTTGAGTGACTGCAGTTTAGAAGGGGTTTGGAGAACTTTAAGATGCTTCCTGAAAGGACAAGAGAGTATAGAAGTGGGCCTGAGTGTGGTGGCTCATGCCTGTAATCCTAGCATTTTGGGAGGCCGAGGTGGGCAGATCGTTTGAGGTCAAGAGTTTGAGACCAGTCTGACCAACATGGTGAAACTTTGTGTCTACTAAAACTATAACAATATTAGCTGGGTGTGGTGGCCTGTACCTGTAATCCCAGCTACTTGGGAGGCTGAGGCAGGAGAATTGCTTGAACCTGAAAAGCAGAGGTTGCAGTGAGCTCAGATTGTGCCACTGCACTCCAGCCTGGGTGACAGAGCAGGACTCCTTCTCGAAAAAAAAAAAAAAAAAAAATGGTGCCTGGGCTGGAACTTCTCTGAGCCTTAAATTCCTTATTGTGGACTCCTGAAGTCAGAAGGTTAGTGCAAAAGTCAGATGTGTAAAGGACCTATATCTGCTTATAAAATATCAGGTTCTTTTTAATATATCTGATTCACTGATCCTGTTTTCAGCACCGGATTATTTGCTAGACAGTTGATTCCAGTCACTCCTTTGGGATGAATGAAGTTGATTGAAGGATGCTAGGTTTCTGTAAGCCATGGAGATCTTGCCAGGAGATTGCTTACATCCTCTCTTTATACCACATTTGACCTGAGGTCATGAGGCCACCATGGAATTTGGAAATACTTTGTTTTTTTATGAGAACGTTTGTTTTCATGAGGTGTGACCCAGACCACCGGTCTTGGGATGCTGTAGCCAGAGAATCTCAATGTGGGGCAGTTGAGGCCCACTGCACCCTTGCTGCCAAAAGTTGGTCTGTGAACCAGCAGCGTCTGCACTACCAAGTAGAAATGCAGAATCTCACAATATAGCCCAGGTGTATCAAGTCAGAATCTACATTTTAACAGGATCCCAAATGATAGCTGCATACATTAAAGTTTAAGAAGCCTGGCTCTACAATATCCCAATGAGTATAGTCCACAGCAACCTCAGGTTAAACAGCTGCTGTGGCAGGCAAATCATTTCCTCTTGAGGCAGCCCCTTGTATTGCTGGACTGTTCAAAAGTTCTCCCTTCTGTCAAGTTGAAATCTGCATATCATTGTCACCCACTCAAAGTGCCCAGAATAAGTTTCATTCTTCTGAAAGCCCACATAGAAGGTGCTTTCCTTTGTGATATGGACACCTTAATTCAGAGGCAGTGAGTGGAGGGTGGATGGTGAGTGGAGCCACAGAAGGTCAGCTCCCAGTCACCTGGCAAAGACCTAACATCCAGAGTCATTGTAGAAGAAGCATGTCATGGCCCCTTTAGTTCTGTCTCTTCCCTTCACTCCCGTCAGAGTACAAGGTGACTGGTTTGAATGACTGCACTTCAGAAGGGGTTTGGAGAACCTGGAGAGGCTTCCCAAAAGGACTGGGGTATTGTGGAGATGCCTGCCATGGAAGTTAGTCCTGCAGGGTGTGCTACTGACCGAGGACATTTACAGTAGAGATGAACAGGAGGGGGTGGTCTGGTGGAGTGGAAAGAGCAGCCAAGCCACTTTACCTCTTATTGGCTGTGTGATGTTGAGGAATGCATGAAACCCCTCTGAGCATCAGCTTCCTGGGTTTTTAAAGAAAGCAGTGATAAACCCTGTCCTGCCTGACTCCAGGGTTTCTGAGGGACTCACTGAAGATGAGTTCAGTGAGCACACTGATAAGGTAGAAGATAGTCTGAGGATGAAAGACAAGGTCAGGCGGGCCAATAGATGAAGCCAGGAGACAAACCTACCACTGACTTGCTGTGTGACCTCAAGGGAGGCTCGCACTCTGTCTGTGTCTCTCTGTGAAACAGTAGGTCATACACAAAAGATTTCTAAGCACCTGTCTAGAAGGCCCTGGAGCTGTGGCCTACTGCTTTTTTTTTTTTTCCCTCTGAGACAGGGTCTTGCTTTGTCACCCAGGCTGGAGTGCAGTGGTGCAATCATGGCTCACTGTAGCCTCAATCTCCTGGGCTCAGTTGATCCCAAGAAGCTGGGACTACAGGTGTATGCTGCCACACCTGGGTAATTTTTGTATTTTTTGTAGAGACGGGATTTTGCCATGTTGCCCAGGTTGGTCTCCAACTCCCAAGCTCAAGCAGTCCTCCCGCCTTGACCTCCCAAAGTGCTGGGATTACAGCCATCAGCCACCATGCCGGGCTGGCCTGTTGCTATTATTGCATGTTATCTGGAAGATTTTTTTTCAAGAATGGCTCTTCAAAGTATTTATTTAGAAAAACTTCCTAGAGCTTGGAATTGAATCCTCTCTGGGGGACATAGTTCCAAACATTCTTCCAGTGAAGACTTGGCCCCTGCAATGGAAGCCCCACTCCAAAGGCAGGTCTGCTCTTGCACCTGTGTTTCTATGTCACCATGTGATACCTGGGTTGGTAAATGAAGAGTGACAGTTTGGTCACACACAGCCCTATTTCTGGAAGCAAGTTCTGTCCTACAAGCTGTCTGAACTCATCTCATACCTCACTGGAGTATGTCATGTGCAGATTTTCCAGAGGAATGGTCTTGGTTGATACTTACACTTCAAATATTGCCAAGGAAGTTTTCAAAAATGTTATCCCCTGTTTCAGTTTTTATAAGTTCTGAAATATAGCAGACCCAGTGGTTCTATGAACTTGCTCTGCTGGAAGGAGCTTCCAGTGAATAAAATAACCGAAGCTGGCTTTGGGTTCAGCAGCCTCCCCTAGATGCTTACTAGCTGAGTGTGAGAGGACCAATGTGTGCAGAGGGACATGGCTAAGACGGCCTTTCTGTGTCTCTCTCCTGCCAATCTGGGGACCCTGTGTTGTTCATCCTCACCTCACTGCAGCCGTGTTTCCAATTTCTCATTTCATTTCCTGGATGCTTGCTTCTAACTCTCCATTTGCATTTTCTTCTGTGCATCCACCGTGTTGTTGTGGAGACTTGGTGGCCATAGGCCGCCAGTATCCGGTGTCATCCAAGCGTGATGGTGTGGTACGTGGATTTGCTCATGCTTTTATTTTGAATCCTTTCCAATGTGACATCTGCTAAAATGTCTCCCTTATAATTTGCTTGGTGATCACAGCTTTCTCATCATTCATTGAGAGCAGGACCTGATCTCACAGAATCTGAAAAGAGCTATGTGGTAAGATGCCTGTTGAATAAGACTGCAGCTTTTCTAAAGAGATCCTTGCTGATCCTTCTAGAATCTAGACTAGAGTGATGCCTGGTTAACCCACAGAATCATTATTTATAAGAATTCTGTGGCTGTTGTAGTAGAGCAAGATGTTAGGCCACTCCCTTACCCCCAACCCCTGGAAAAAAGCAGAGGAGTTTAGAGACAGTATTTCTACTCTGCCTATATGTGGGATTAAATTAATATATTAGTGCATGATTGGGGATACATACTTGCATTTCTACCCTAAAGTATTACATTTGTAACAGTTACTCACTAATTACAGGCTTGTATGCTGCTGCCTTTTTTTTTTTTTTTTTAATATTCATACTAAATTCCAAATTCTTCTGTATCTTACCTGTTTTTCCATGCTTACGCCTGGATCACTCCTGCACTCCACTACTGGAATATCTATTTTTTTAACCTGGATCTTCAACTCTGTTTTCTCCCTGGACTTATGTGCTTCATCTGGAATGTTACATCTCTTCCTCTCTTTCTTTTTTTTTTGTCCCCATGTTGACTGTTTTATTGGGGTTTCTGGATATCTCGGGGCCACCTCACAGGAAGCGGTTTGCAATGAGATCATAAACATTGCCGAAAAATCTGTTCATTACTGCAGCACTGTTTCTCATCCCCTTGACTTTCATCACAAGGTATCCCCTTCTGACAATAAATCATCTTTAATCATTTCTCAGCAACCTCAAGCCCAGCAGCGAAGAATCACGCCCGACAGAAGTCAAACCTCACAAGATTTGTAAGTATTCCTGGTGAACTTCGATTCTCATGTTCTCAGAGGACTGCTGGTTTTAGAAAGTGGGTCACTGGCTGAATATGGGGCAGTCGTTTGTGGGAGTGAGTGAATTACTCCCACGTTCTCTGCTGAGGATTTCTAATGAAGGCTGTGTTCCCCATCTGCCAAGGTGAAAACAGGTGGCAGGTAAATAAAGACCATCATAGACTTCTGGGAAAGAGGCAGGTAAAGCTTAACTTCTGTAGAATGGCAAATGAGAGCTGTGCTGACTGGTTTCATTTCTAGTGTAGTGGGAACACAGAGGAAGGAACAGTTAATTCTGATCAGCCATGAATGAAATGGTTGTTTCATTCATTTATTCATAAAAAAATTATTGGATACCTCCTATGTTTTAAGCACATAGGAAAAAACTCTGTGCACAGAGAGAAAGAGTGATTTGTACCAAGCACTGAGAGACAAATTGGATGCTGAGAGCTAGAAAAGGGAGGAATATCTCTTCCCAGAGGAGAGGACCACATGTACAAAGGGATAGAATGGGTGGTATTTGGAGAACTTGATGAGGCATGTGTATCTGCTATGTACGGGTCATGGAACAGATAGAGATGAAGCTCAGAGGTGGGGTGGGGCCAGATGGCAGATTCCAGAATGCAGTTGAAGTAAGTTTAGATTTTATTCTGTAGGTACTAGGGGGCCACTGAAGATTTTTGAAGTAAGAACATATTGATCAATTTTGAAATAGGGAGATAACTCTGACAACAGAGTGGAGGGTAGATTTCATAGACCAGGGACAAAGATGTGTGTCAGGAAACATCAATCCAGCTAAGAAGCCATGAGGGCCTGAGCCAGGACAAAGCAGGCATTCTGTAACCATGGAAGTGCATATGATTACCAATGGAGATACAGGTAAAGAAGCCTAGCCAGCCGCACAGACTGGGAAGGGGCAGCAAGAGATGCCGGTAAGGGTCTAAAGATGTTCACTTTCACAGAACAGCTACAGCATCTGGTCAGCAGTGTCATGTGCCCCAGAGAGGCCAAGGGTGGGAAATGAGAAATGTCCAGCAGGCATTTTCCATGGTGACTGGAAAAATCACTGTGACTTCTGATGTAGCAGTGTTAGTGTTAGTAGGGTTGGCGGCAGGTGCTGTGTTAGGAAGGATCGATGGTGAGTGGAAGGCGGCGGGGGGCGGGGGAGGCTACAGATAAAGGGAATAGTAGAGATGGGAGATGTTTTTAGGGTGCAGAGACAAGCACATTTGTACCAGAGGAGAATGCCAACTAATGCAGATAAGATATAAGTGAAGGCAGAGCCTAGGAAGGGGGTTCAGCATGGCCTGGAGAAGGGACCCTTCTTTCCTCGCATGTGGAAGCAGGGGCGGGAAGGTGAGTAGAGGCACAGAAACTGAAATCTGAGGGGAGAGGATTAAGGTGCTACCCACAGCCAATTTCCATCTCCAGAAGTCAGGGCAGAGTGAGAGCTCCCTTGGCTGAGTGTGAGGCACCAGGATTGACACGATTGCTGGGGAAAGGACCCCATGTGACAGTGTCTTGAGGAGTATGAGGTTCATTCTAAATTAGAGCTGACTGGGGGACCCAAGCAGCAAGAGTGTGGGACTTTGTCCAGTTTGTCTCCACTGTCTGGGAGTGAAAACAGAGAAGCAGATATTGGAGTTATTTCCCAGAGCTGAGGCTGGCAAAGCTGCCATGGTGGGAATTCAAGGGCCCAGGCATTCTAAGAAGCTGGCAATGGCATATATGGGGAGGCCAGAAGGGGAATCCAAATTGAGTAGGAGACAGCAGGCAAATACAGAAACATGAAAATAAAAAAGTATTTACCAATTATAATTAATCAATCTGCATCTCTTAATTCGTCATTTGAGACCTTCCTTCCGGCAACCAGATCCATCCACCAAATTATCAATGTATTTGGATAAATATGAAGAGTGAAGTTGTCCCTCTGGTTGTAGCAGAGCAGAATGAACCTCTTGTTTTTGGGAACTGACTCCACTTGCCTGTTTCTAGTCCCTCTTGCTTGCACACTGCAATTCATTGACATCTACTGGAAATGGTGGATGATTGGCTCATTTACAGTTTTGCCTGCTACTGTTGTGTCTCAAAATAGTAAACAGAGTTGTGAAGTTGGTGCATAGTAGGTGCCTCTTATGTATTTGTTGAAGAAAGAAAGAAATAAAAACAAAGTGTTTCCTTGATGCCAAAGCAAGGATCAGATTTCACCACAAGCAGTCCAGCTGTCTCCAGTGGGTGTTATAGCAGACAAAGCAGCACAAACCCAATGCCTTAGGCCAGCTAGCAAGTAAATAAAAATCTTGCCCTCAATTTCTCACTGGGATAGAAAAAAGCAAAAAGCTTTCAAGGGTTTCAGGAAAATGACGTCCACATTTAAAAGCAGTGAATGAAATGTGTTTAGGCATGTAAAGAAACTCAAGATAGTTTTGCTAAACAGTGAGGCAATTGGAATGTACTTTTACTAGCCATATATATAGCTATTATATATATGATATATGGCTATTATATACACACACTTTTTTTTTAAACCAGTGTTTTATGTTCTCCATATGTATGACCAGACTGTGATGTCTCTGGGCCTAAATAATTTTCCGATTATGCTTGATAATTTACATATATCATCCTATATTAAGGAAAAGGCTTGGTTTACTTTAAAGCAGGGGTCCCCAATCCCCAGGCATTATCAACTGTGCTCTGCCTCCTGTGAGATCAGTACATTAGATTCTCACAGGAGCATGAGCACTATTGTGAACTGCACATATGAGGGATCTAGGTTATACCCTCCTTATGAGAATCTAATGTCCCGATAGTTTCATCCTGAAACCATTCCCCCTGCCCGACACCGTCTGTGGAAAAATTGTCTCCTATGGAACCAGCCCCTGGTGCCTAAGAGCTGGGGACCACTGCTTTAAAGGCAGAGGTCAGGGTAGAGTAGCGGGTGTTTTAGATAAAATGGCTTGAAATGAAACTAAGAGGCTGGGCATAGTGGCTCATGCCTGTAATCCCAGCACTTTGGCAGACTGATGCAGGCAGATCACGAGGTCAGCAGTTCAATACCAGCCTGGCTGACATGGCAAAACCCCATCTCTACCAAAAATACAAAAACTAGCCAGGCATGGTGGTGAGCACCTATAATCCCAGCTACTTGGGAGGCTGAGGCAGGAGAGTCACTTGAACCCAGGAGGCAGAGGCTGCAGTGAGCTGAGATCATGCCACTGCACCCCAGCCTGAGCGATGAGGAATCTCAAAAACAAACAAACAAACAAACAAACAAAAAAGAAGAAGAAACTAAGAGGACTGATCATGGCTTGTCAGAAGTTCTCCATCCCTAAGTCTTAATTAACTTATATGTTGAATGCATCTCCCCAAATGCTAAGTTGTTAGGGAAATAGTCAATAAAATACTTTTATCCCCACTGATAAGTAGGAAACTCTACTGAAATGTTGATTGAACTTGTAATGAAGTTTAAAAATCCATTATTTAATTCTGTCAACCTTTGAGTCACTTAATATTCATTTTTCTCATATATAGATTTAGCTATCAAGCATTATATAGCTATATACCACAGAATGATGATGAGTTGGAACTCCGAGATGGAGACATTGTTGATGTCATGGAAAAATGTGACGATGGATGGTTTGTTGGTAAGAATCTCATTATGTTTTTCTTACTAGTTGTGTATTGAAGGAATAACTGGGAGATATGAGCCATGTAAAAAGCAAAGCAATCTTCTCTGCACAGAAAGAAGAGGCTTCTCTGCTTTTTATGACCTCAGCAAGGCTGGGCTGCCAGTCTGTGTTGCTCTTAGATGGTGTGGATGTTGCTAATGTTGGACCTGAAACCAAATCTGCTGCACAGAAGAGCAGTTGTCACATTTATTAATTGGGTTTCCATTGATATTTATATTGTGCATGTATCTGGTTTTCATTTGTAATTTTTATTTTTAAAACCCTTATGAAATAATATAAAAAAATTTTGACTGAGCCTCTGTCTCTTACCGTGAAACTTAGGCATATGTGTAGATGTTCTAAAGACCTTATTTACTCCAGCCTTTCAATAATATTAATCAAAGCAGCCTGCTTAATTAAAGGATTTGCCTTTACAAGAAAGAGAAAGATCAACATTTACTGAGATTCTGTTACAAATAAGACACTGTATTTGGTATGCTTTTATTGACATTCTCTCAACAAACAGCCTGGTAAGATAAGAATTATCCTCACTTATCAGATTCAAAAACTGAGGCCCAAAGAAGTTAAGTAACTATGCCAAGATCACCAGGGTAGCAAAGAATGAGGTCAAGATTTGAACTCAGGCTACCCATCTCTCCTGAAATCTGTGTTCTTTCTGCTCAGGCATGAATATAATGTTGGGAGACACTAACCTACTCTTTGCCTCAATTTCTCCCTATACAAGTGGCTTTACCTTCATGATCTTTCTAAAGATCAGCTCTCCCCTGATTTTTCTGGCAAAGCTTCGCTAAAGCAAAATAATATCTGGACTGGAGTGGTGAGGACGGCAAGACCTCAATGTGAATGAGAAGTCAAAAAGATTTGCCTTGTCCTCACCAGCCTCTTAGAGAATGACCGCATCCTCCCAAGGTCCCCAGAAGCCTATGGCTCTCACTGCCTTGAGTCATTCTGTTCAGTAGAAAGTCAGGTCTGAGAAGTCAGTGACCACTCCAGTGCAGTGCAATCCAATAGAAATGCAATGTAAGCCATGTATGAAATTTAAAATTTTCTAGAAGCCATATTAAAAAGAAGTAAAAAGAGCTGGGTACGGTGGCTCATGCTTGTAATCCTAAAATTCTGAGGTCAAGAGTTGGAGACCAGCCTGACCAACATGAAGAAACCCCATCTCTACTAAAAATATAAAGTTAGCCTGGCATGGTGGCACATGCCTATAATTTCAGCTACTCGGGAGGCTGAGGCAGGAGAATTCCTTGAACTCAGGAGGCAGAGGTTGTGGTGAGTTGAGATCGTGCCCTTCCATTCCAGCCTGGACAAGAAGAACGAAACTCTGTCTCAAAAAATGAGGAAGAAGTAAAAAGAAACCAGTGAAATTAATTCTAATGTGTTTTGTAAACCCAGTGTATTCAAACTGCTATCATTTGAACATGTAATCAGTATTAAAAATTGTGAGTGAGTTATTTTACATACATCTTTTCATACTAAGTCTTTGAAACCCAATGTATGTTTTATAGTTACAGCACAGCTCATTTCAGACTACCTACATTTCGAGTGCTCAGAAGTCACATGTGGCTATCATTTTAGAGAGTGCAGCCCTAGTATGCACTAGTTGTTGAACTCTTTCAGGAATATTTTTTTTAATGGAAACTTAGGTGTGGGAAGGAGCACTGGTTCTCTAATGGAGGCATCACCCAGGCTGGAGTACAGTGGCATGAACTTGGCTCACTGCAAGCTCTGCCTCCCGAGTTCAAGTGATTCTCCTGCCTTAGCCTCCCAAGTAGCTGGGACTATAGGCCTGCATCACCACGCCTGGCTAATTTTTGTATTTTTAATGGAGATGGGGTTCTACCATGTTGGCCAGCCTGGTCTCGAACTCCTGACCTCAAGTGATCCACCTGCCTCAGCCTCCCAAAATGTTGGGATTGTAGGCATGAGCCACCACGCCCAGCCTTCTCAGTCACTTTGAAAAGTAGCCTTTTCAAACTACAAATAAAGTAGCCCAGCAGAACTCACCTTTATCATCCGTAAGGAAAGATGTTAACTAGCTATGTGGGCCAAGGCAAGTTTCTTATTGTCTCTGGACCCTACCATCTCACTTCTCTAACCTTCTCGGCTATTTTCCATAGGAATTCAATTAGATATTTTAGGTGTCCTAAGCTTTAAGATATTTTTTTAGCTTAGAAGTTTGACTTTGGGTAGTAATTCCAACCCACTAGTAGTGGCTGCTTGAGATGCTGTGTACAATAGGATTCCAAAGCCAAGTCTAAGCCAGTTAAGATAAGGGTGTAATGATCAAATTGGGATGTCTGCTCAAGAGAGGATGATAATGACACAACACATATCTGCCATTCCTGCTTTAGAGAGAGAATCCTAAGGAAAGGAACTAGATTAAGGATCAGCAGTTCTGCATGTGCAGCAGCCCAGGAAGGGCTTTGTTCCCAGATGGCTCCGTGCTCCTGGCTTAGCAGGAGCCCTAACAAGATTGGTACCAAAGACAGGGACTCAGTTGGGAGCTTAGGCACAAGCTCAGTAGGAATGTCCTTTTGATGGGTGGCCATAGTCAATGGGCTTTTAGAAACTGCACAGTTTAGAAAATCTGAATCCCATGTGTCATCTTATGTCAGATAAATGTATGAATTCTTCCACAAAGCAGAAGTGTTGGAAAGAGCAATGGACTGGGAGGCAGAAGACCTGGGTTTAGATTCTGCCTCTCATACTTACGAAGCGGTGGGACCTCAGACATGTAACTTCCTTTCTCTGAACCTGGGTTCTTCCTTCTGAAAAACAGGAGTATTAGAAATACCTGCATTGCTTACCACCCAGTATTATTTGGCAGGCTAAGTGAGATAAGATAGGGGAAAGGACTTTGGAACCCATGTGGTATTCTCTAAGCTGCAGGACTGTTACCAAGGGGCGTTTGAGCAGAAATCTGCAATGTGCTCTCTCAACTCATGTGAGTGGGTCTTCTCATGTTTTATATGTGTGTGTTTTTTTATAGGTACTTCAAGAAGGACAAGGCAGTTTGGTACTTTTCCAGGCAACTATGTAAAACCTTTGTATCTATAAGAAGACTGAAAACCATGGAGATTATTTTTATTGGAGGATGAAGCATCATTCATGAACTGATCTTTTTAGTTGAGTCAGTAGGAAAATTAATACAGTGGATAAAGTAAGAAGCAAAGGACAGGGACAGAGAAGTGTTGTGTTTAAAGCCCAAGCCTGTCTAAGGTTACTGTATATTAGACAGGGCCGAACTAGTGTGCTGAGCAAAAAGAATTGAGGCAAATTGTATTTACTTAGTCACTTCTGGGAGCCACTCCAGCCTTTTCCCCTCCCCTCCATCTCTTGGGTAATCTGACCTGAAGCATAGTCCAGGAGCAGAGTTAGTCAGAAATGCCTCCTGCTGCCCCAGCCTGTGAAAGCTCCCATCTCAAAGGAATTATTGAGCCTGAAGGCTTCAGGTCTAAGAATGCACCAAGACCCCCAGCCTACATCTCCCAGCTCCTCTGGAGCCGGCTGATCCTTTAATACTGCTGGAGGTCAGTCTGGGCTGCCTAGGCTGTCCCTAGACAAAGGTGGAGTCCCCCAGACTGCCCAACACCAAATCCTCACTCAACTTGCTGAGGTGTGGATGGAGAAATGGAGGCAAAACTTGGGCTCCCGATGCATTCAGCTTGCCGTACAGCTCTGCTGTTGACTGCCGTGGTGTTCAGACAGAAAAGCACACAAGGTTTGCCCATGAGAACTGGGGAGCAGATGGCCAAGCAGATAGGTTACCAAGTGTATTTCCTGTGATTAAGTCAGGAAGCACTGTAGCTCCCGAGGCCACTGAATGGTCCATTATTTTCCCACATCCCTGGCTTTTATAAATGTTATCTTCAGGACAGCGCCGCTGCAGTTATCAGAGCACTATTGCTCACTTTTCTTTTCTGGCTTATGTTTGTCTGGGACAGTTTGGAATTGGGAGGCCTATTCTCACAGAAAACCAAAATGATGTTCAACAATTAATTTACATTCACCAACTTACGCTGGCTGCCGGGGGCCCACTGATAAGCAAGACATGCCCAGGCTTTGCCGTGGCTCCAGATCTACTCCCTGTGGGAGTTCAAGGATCACACAAATTGTAGTAATCGGGGTTGTGAATTTGAGTACACCCTGGCAAGGCTTCCCTTCCGACTGAAGCAGCAATTCTGCCACTACCAGCAGCAACCAGGACGTCTGTCCAGGGGGTTGTACCAGAAGAGAGAGGCCCCTGTGACGCCTGGGGTGCTTGGTCACAACTCTGTCCAATTCAAGGATGTTTATTGGCCTCTCTCTTAGACCCCTTAGTGAGACAACTACAGAAATGGCCCATTCCCTGCCCACCAGGAACTCAGAGGTGACTGGGAAGACAGACACAGGAAAAAGAGCGTAATCAAGAGAGACTGTGATATGTGCTAAGAAGGATGTGAGGGAGGAAGAGATGAATTTTCCCTGGAGGGATCCTAGAAAGCATTGTCATATTTCTGTCTCCATTAGCTCACTGTTAAACAACTATGATGCTAGAAGAACCTTTGTCTGAGGATAGTTCATAGCTGGAAATACTTGGAATGTTTTCCAGAGTCTCCAAATTCTCGTCTTCCCCACAGGTACACATCCAAGTTCACAAGTAGGAGTAGCAATTCTAGGAGATAGGGGTGTGTACAGGAACCCCTGGCTGTCTGCATATAGCTCAGAATTACCCCAGGACCATTGTCCCAAGGTCTGGAGTCTTTACAGGTAGGCAAAATTGATTTTCAATACCTGTTCTTCAGCTGCTGTCACAAATACCTATCTTAGGATCCCACCAGCCTCCCACCTCCCACCAGACAGCCACAGCACCCTCACTTTCTCCCTATTCTTTCAAATTATTTTGTCAGGAAAGAAGCTGCCGCTGGTTCATTCACACTAAGGTGTAAATGATTGATAGTAGTAATGTGTTACCTCTTCCCACAGACAGTTGTTTTTAAGTAGGACAGAGCAGGGCCTTTTGGGAATCCCAATGGAAAAGGCTATGGAACTGGAGGAGGTGAGCTTTCTTGGTAGAAGGAGACTTCCTGATTTTCCTTAAGACCCAGTGAGAGTAAGACCTATGGCTTTGGAAGGTCTGCTCCACCATCTAAGAGCACTGTTTTTTTTTTTTTGTTTTTTTTTGTTTTTTTAACTGTCTCTGAGGGAATATAGTAAAAATGCATATGCACGTGCAGTTTGCACAGCAGCATTTCACCTGTTTTGGAATGTATTGGCTAATGTGTTTCCTGGTCTTTCTTAGACATGAACCATTAACAACACTGTCTTATCGAACAGTTTTTTTGAGGGGTGCTTCTTGATTAGGTAGGTAGTTTTGAACATGTCTTTAAATACAGCTAGAAAATAAAACCAATTTGTAAAGCCACATTTGCATATGATGCCAGCCTCACGCATTTGTGTATCTCCAGAAGTTCGGGTATGCCTCACCGATTTGCCCGTCTTTAATAAAATCATGTGTTAAAATTTGCATCACTTCGCCTTCCTATGTATGATGAAACAAGGAACAGAAGTTTCCAATTGCTCTTTTGTCTTCAGACATTTAGTAATACAAAGTACCTATTTTTATGCTGAAATGTTTATACAGGTTTATTAATAGCAAGTGCAACTCACTGGCGGCATGCCTTGCAACACATTTTGATATATTAGCCATGCTTCCGGGTAAAGGCAAGCCCCAAACTCCTTATCTTTTGCAGTCTCTCTGGGATCAGTTAAAAAAAAAAAAAAAAAAAAAAAAAAAAAAAAAAAAAAGTCATGTGCTTAAGAAGTGGGACTGTAAATATGTATATTTAACTTTGTATAGCCCATGTACCTACCTTGTATAGAAATATAATTTTAAAAATTTGAATGGAAGGGGGGTAAAGTAAGGAAGTCATGAAGTTTTTTTGCATTTTTACTTAAATGAAGGAATTCCAAATAACTCACCTACAGATTTTTAACCCAAAAATAGCCACTGTAAAGTATTAAAATTTATGATAATTATTCTACTAGGGAGGGAAGGTAACTATAATCTCAGTTATAGTTTTGTTTTCTTTTTAATTTCATTCTTTTGGGGTTTTTTTTGTTTCTTTGCAGTCCTATTTATCTGCAGTCATATTAAGTCCTATTGCTAGAATAGGTTACTACCAAAAAGATTATATTCTGAAAGAAAAATAACTGACATTATATATAACCAATTAATTTAAAGTATTGCCATTTAAATTACACACTGAGAGCATGTACTATGCAGACATAGATTTTTCTGTTCATTTATTTTTCTTCATTGCAGTGGACTGATAGATGTGTTGAATTACTACATTTGCTGTACATATTATTTAATAAACTTTATTCAGAATTGCGTGGCATATGTTTGTTCTGGTCATTCATTGTTTCTTCCTTTGCCAAGCTTCTCAAATGAGACTTAAATTCACTGCTTCAATTTCTCTTACCCTTCTTTCCATTCCTAATAGTTTACCATCTGCCTTCTATCACCTCCTTGATGATACCACTTCTTACCTTACTTTTTTCTCAGTAACCTAACTCCTGACCCTTTGAATTAATTGGTTACTGTTGACCATTTTACCATTCTTTCTTTCTTTTTTTTTTCTTTTTGAGATGGAGTTTTACTCTTGTTGCCCAGGCTGGAGTTCAATGGTGCAATCTTGGCTCACTGCAACCTCTTCCTCCCAGGTTCAAGCAATTCTTCTGCTTCAGCCTCCTAAGTAGCTGGGATTACAGGCATGCACCACCATGCTCGACAAATTTTGTATTTTTAGTAGAGACAGGGTTTCTCCATGTTGGTCAGGTTGGTCTCAAACTCTCGACCTCAGGTGATCCGCCCCCCTCAGCCTCCCCAAGTGCTGGGATTACAGGCGTGAGCCACTGCATCTGGCCCCATTTTACCATTATTTCTAAAATATGTTTTTTTTTATTATGGTAACAAAAGTAATGCACAAATGTCTTTAAAAACAAAAGTAAAACATTTTAAGTTATGTATAATGAGTCTTGATTTGTTCCACAAAACATGGGTATGGGAAATGACATAGCACTTCATTTTTGTTTTTTGTTTTTTTTTAAATTTACTTATTTTACTTTAGGTGCATACTATATCTGGCATTTAGCCCCATGTTATTCTTCCCCACCCCCCACTGTCTCTCCCCTACCCCTCCCAACTGCCACCCAGTTTGTGATGCTCCTCTCCCTGAGTCCACGTGTTCTCATTGTTCAGCACCCAGCTATGAGTGAAAACATGCAGTGTTTGGCTTTCTGTTCTTGTGTCAGTTTGCTGAGAATGATGGTTTCCAGATTCATCCAAGTCCCTACAAAGGACACGAACTCATCATTTTTTGTGGCTGTGCAGTATTCCATGGTGTATATGTGCCACATTTTCTTTGTCCAGTCTATCATCTATGGGCATTTGGGTTGGTTCCAGGTCTTTGCTATTGTACACAGGGCTGCAATGAATATACGTGTGCAAGTGTCTTTATAGTAGAATGATTTATAGTTCTTTGGGTATATACCCAGTAATGGGATTGTGGGATCAAATGGAATTTCTATCTGTAGATCCTTGAGAAATCACCATACTGTCTTCCACAATGGTTGAACTAATTTACACTCCCACCAACAGTGTAAAAGTGTTCCTATTTCTCCACATCCTCTCCAGCATCTGTTGTCTCCAGATTTCTTAATGATCGCCATTCTAACTGGTGTGAGATGGTATCTCAATGTGGTTTTGGTTTGCATTTCTCTAATGAACAGTGATGATGAGTATTTTTTCATGTTTATTGGCCTCATATATGTCTTCTTTTGTAAAGTGTTCATATCCTTTGTCCACTTTTGAATGGGTTTTTTTTTTTTTTTTTAATTGTAAATCTGTTTTAGTTCTTTGTAGATTCTGGATATTAGCCCTTTGTCAGATGGGTAGATTGCAAAAATTTTTTCCCATTCTGTTGGTTGCCAATTCGCTCTAATGATGGTTTCTTTTGCTGTACAGAAGCTCTGAATTTTAAATTAGATCCCATTTGTCTATCTTGGCTTTTATTGCCATTGCTTTTGGTGTTTTAGTCATGAAGTTCTTGCCTATGCCTATGTCCTGGATGGTTTTGTGTACATTTTCTTCTAGTGTTTTTATGGTATTAGGTTTTATGTTTTAATCTTTGATTTAAAATTAAATTATAAATCTTTAATTTATATTTAAATCTTTAATCCATCTTTAATTTTAGTGGAAGGTGAGAGGTAGGGGTCCAGTTTCTGCTTTCTGCACTTTGCTAGCCAGTTTTCCCAACACCATTTATTAAACATGGAGTCCTTTCCCCATTGCTTATTTTTGTCGAGTTTGTCAAAGATCAAATAGTTGTAGATGTGTGGTGTTGCTTCTGGGGCCTCTGTTCTGTTCCATTTGTCTACGTCTCTGCTTTGGTACCAGTACTATGCTGTTTTAATTACTGTAGCCTTGTAGTATAGTTTGAAGTCTGGCAGTGTGATGCCTCCGGCTTTGTTCTTTTTGCTTAGGATTGTCTTGGCTATGTGGGGTCTTTTTTGATTCCATATGAAGTTTAAGGTTTTTTCCAGTTCTGCAAACAAGGTCATTGGTAGCTTGATGGGGATAGCTTTGAATCTATAGATTGAGCAGTCTGGCCATTTTCACAATATTAATTCTTCCTAACCATGAGCATGGAATGTTTTTCCATCTGTTTCTGTCCTTTCTTATTTTGTTGAGCAGTGGTTTGTAGTTCTCCTTGAAGAGGTCCTTTACATCCTTTGTTAGTTGTATTCCTAGGTATTTTATTCTCTTTGTAGCAATTGTGAATGGGAGTTTGCTCTTGATTTGGCTCTCTGTTTGTCTGTTATTGGTATATAGGAATGCTTGTGATTTCTGCACATTGATTTTCTATCCTAAGATTAAAAAAAGAAAAGGGAGAAGAATCAAATAGATGCAATAAAAAACGGTAAAGGGGATATCACCACTGATCCCACAGAAATACGAGCTACCATCAGAGATTACTACAAACAGCTCTATTCACATAAACCAGTAAACCAGGAAGAAATGGATAAATTTTTAGATACTTGTTCTCTACCAAGACTAAACCATGAGGAAGTTGAAACCCTGAATAGACCAATAATAAGGGCTGAAGCAGAGGCAGCAGTTAATAGCTTACTAACCAGAAAAAGTCCAGGTCCAGACATGTTCACAGCCAAATTCTACCAGACATACAAAGAAGAGCTGGTTCCATTCCTTCTGAAACTGTATCAAACAATAAAAAAGGATAGAATCCTCCCTAACTCATTTTATGAGACCAACATCATCCTGATACCAAAACCAGGCAGGGACTCAACTAAAAAAGAAAACTTCCAGCCACTATCCATGATGAACATCAACGCAAAAATCTTCAATAAAATACTGGCAAGCAGATTGCAATAGCACATCAAGAAGCTTATCCATCGTGACCAAGTAGGGTTTATCCCAGGGATGCAAGGCTGGTTCAACATTATGCAAATCTGTAAATGTAATCCATCACATAAATGGAACCAAAGACAAAAACCACATAATTAACAGATGCAGAGAAGGCCTTCGACAAAATTCAACAGCCCTTCATGCTAAAAACTAGGTATTGATGGAACGTATCATAAAATAATAAAAGTTATATGTGACAAACCTACAGCCAATATCATACTGAATGGGCAAAAGCTGGAAGAATTCCCTTTGAAATCAGGCACTAGACAAGGATGCCCTCTGTCACCACTCCTATTCAATATAGTATTGGAAGTTCTAGCCAGAGCAATCAGGCAAGAAAAAGAAAGAAAGGGTATCAGGAAAGGAGGAAATCAAACTGTCTCTATTTGCAGATGACATGATTGTATATCTAAAAGACCACATCGTCTGAGCCCAAAATCTTCTCAAATTGATAAGCACTTAAATTAATCTGGCTTGCCTGGTTCCGTGACCACATCTGTAATCCCAGCATTTTGAGAGGCTGAGGCGGGTGGATCGTGAGGTCAGGAGTTCAAGACCAGCATGGCCAAGATGGTGAAACTCCATCTCTACTGAAAATACAAAAATTAGCTGGGTGTGGTGGTGGGCCTCAAACAGGTCTGGGAAAGGGGTCTAATAGTCTCTTCCTTCAAGGGTCTGGATAGTCTTTAACACTATGTCCTGAATCACAGGCCCTACAAATCTTTCTTTTCAACAAATCCATCAGCTTACCTCCTAACTACATTTAGAACCCAACCACTTCCACCATCATAGCCCAAGCCATTTTCTCTCACCTGGATCATTGCAGTAACTTTTTAACTGGTCTTTCTGCTTCTGCTTTTGCCCCCTCTAATCTAGTCTAGACAGAGGAACCAGAGTGATAGTTTTGACACTGGTCCAAAACCCTCTAGTGGCTTCTCCACTAGCTAAGAGTGGTACGAGGGCAAGTCCATAGACATACTGCTCCTCCCCCTCCCCCTTATTCATCTCCTTCATTCCAGCCACACAGCCCTCTTTATGGCCTCAGACTTATCAAGCACATTTGAGGTTTAGGGTCTTCATGCTTGCAATCCCCTGTGCTTGGAAGGCCCTTTCCCCGAGAGCTGCATGGTTTTCTTCCTCCCCTCCTTTAGGTCTTCATGTTGCTTCTCAATGAGGCTTTCTGTTACTGTTTTACATATATGGGAACCTACTGTCCCCGTCCCTTGGTTCCACCCCCCTCTTCCTCTTTTTCTCCATAATACTTACCGCCATCTGAGATTTGACTTCACAAGCAATCCTGTAAAATCTGTGGAGTTAGTGACTCTGTTTTGCTAATATATGCCTGGCACCCAGGAGAGAGTCTAATGTGGCACTCAATCCTTTGTTGAGCAAATAAATGGATAAATGAGCCCTTGAGGCCAAAGATCCTAGAACTCAGAATAAGTTCTGCCAACAATGAAAGAAGGGAAACATGCCATTTTCTTACGGTGGCAGAAACAACAAATTAGTCTTTCAAATTATGCTAGTTTCATACAAACATAGAAAGCGAAAGTTCTCTGTAATGATGCTCCTCTCACAGAGATCACTCCTATATATGGTCCTCCTAGCTTGCTTTTCTGCACATACTAAACACACACGTCTCTGAAATGCTTTCTGTAGTCTCATACCCTTCTACTTTCCTTTAATAGAAGTTGGACATGTTTCCATAATTTAGTTAACCCATTCTCTATTGATGATGCAAGCATTTGAGGTAATTGCCAGCTTTTTACCACAACAAACAATGCTGCATTGAGGAGAATTATTGGCTCAAAGAGCAGGAACATTTCAAACCTTAAGAGATTTCCAAATTGCCTTCCCAGAAGTTCCAAATATACTCCCACCAAGTCCATGGAAGTATGTTTCCCACCACGC